AATTCATACACATCATCAAAGAATTGTGGTTCATTGATTTCAATAACGTCAGGCTACAAAACCCACAAAAGATATGGGGATCTATAAAAGAAATTTGCTTCACTTATCTAAAAGATTTTGAGGAACTAGCCTTCTCATAAGCTTCTTATCTAACTTTTTGTTTGAAAGACAACAGAGCAAGGACAGAATGAGTAAGAGAAACCACAAAAACGGATTTTGGGAAAATCAGAATTAGAAACATATGAAATAATCGATTTGAAATAAAGTTAAAAGAAAAAAAGATAACTTATTCGGTGCTGTAAACTAAGAAGTTGAATAGAGATTACCCGATTGAGCAACATGGATCAACTCTTTTGACTGAGATGCCGACTAGGGTTCGTGGAGGGAAAACGAAGTAGAAGAGGTGTCGCAAGAAGGGAGCGGATTTATCTAGAGGCGGCCAAAGAATTCCATACAATTATAGATGCGGCGATGATTGGTCGAATCGGAAAAATCAAAGCAAGAAACCAAAAAGGATAATGACTTAAAAGGGTAATATATTTTTTAATTTGTACACATTTGGTCACTAAGTTTTTTTTCGTCCACATTTACCCCTTCAACTTGTTAAACTGTACACATTCAGTCCTTATGACCGGTTAGTCCAGGTTAGCCGGTAAAAATGACTTAATAGGGTAATATATTTCTTATTTTGTACACATTTAGTCCTTAATATTTTTGTACATATTTAGTCCTTAATATTTTTGTACACATTTAGTCCTTAATATTTTTTTGTTTCAAAATAAGTCATTTTTGTGTTTATATCATTCAGTACTTATGAATGATTTCTTTAGCTTTTTCTCACGACATCTTACATGAGATAATCATTGATGAAGTGTGTGGGGTTGTTTATGTTTATATGTAACGTCTCGATTTCACAACAAAAAATTTTCATTTTTAAATAAGGTAAAACTCCCTAGTTATAGATCCATTATTAAGGAAAAAAAAAACGTTTATTCCAAAATACATTTATCGAAAATCAGAGTAATATAAGAAACGTGGAATCCTCAATACTGTTGATGAGTGTGTACTGTCATGTCTTTGCCTTTCCACGATCAACGATAGAATCTGAAAACATAAAAAACTAGGTAAACACAAAGTTTAGTGAGTTTTCCTCAAAATACATGATACAACAAATGTATTATCATGTATAACGACCCCACATTCATCAGATTGGAATACTTTGGCCCAAGCAGTCATTGGACTGGAATGTCAACATGCAACAGGTCCAATTAGTCATCAGTCGGGAATACCCAGGGTTTGTCGGCATGCCGCCTTAACCCAACCGCTCTTTTCAAGCATTTGTGCCTATGTCTTACAGTTGGCCCGCACTACAACATATAGCAGGCCCACCTCAACCTATCCCACCACCATATGGCTATCTACGTAAGATGTTGTGAGAAAAGCCTAAAGAAATTATCTATAAATACTTAATGAGTACAAAACCAAAAATAACTTATTTTGCAACAAAAAAATATTAATGATTAAATGTATACAAAAATATTAAGGACTAAATGTGTACAAAGTGAGAAATATATTACCCTATTAAGTCCTTTTTACCGGCTAACCTGGAGTAGCCGGTCATAAGGACTAAATGTGTACAATTTAACAAGTTGAAGAGGTAAATGTGGACGAAAAAAAATCAGTGACTAAATGTGTACAAATCAAAAAATATATCATCCTTTTAAGTCATTATCCCAAACCAAAATTGGAAAGCATCGGTCTTACCTTCATAGTGAGCACCAAAAGATTTTTCTGGCGTTTTGGTATGATTTACAATAGTGACAGCCTGTGGTGCCATCTTTAGGGTTGTACTATTAACTATTTTTATCACTCTAAAATCAATCAAATCAACTATTTTTATCTTTCTAAAATCAATCAAATCAAAATTTTGATATTTGATTTGACATTATTTTTTTCCTTTTTTTGTCTTTTGTTGTTTTTTTGTTTTCCAACTTTGTTTTTTTTTTGTTTTTTTTAATTTTTTTTTAATTTACATTATTATTATTATTATTATTATTATTATTATTATTATTATTATTATTATAAATTTCGCATAAAATTTAAACATCCAAACGACAATATAAATTCGAACAGCTATATAAATCAGTTCTTTAAATATATTTATTATATTTTAATAATAATAATATAAAAATATAATAACAACAACAACAACAACAACAATAATAATAATAATAATAATAATAATAATAAACTAAAAAAGAATTAAAAACAAAAAAAAAAAAAAAAACAAAAAATAAAAAACAAAAAAACAAAAAAAGACAAACAATCAAATCAGTGGAGGTGGAATTGGAAAAAAAATAAATGATACTTTTAGAAAACCCCTTTATGATCGTATGATTGAAAACATTTTATGTTTTTACAATTTAAAACGGAGATAATGATTTAAAAGGGTAATATATTCTTTGATTTGTACATATTTGATAACTGAGTTTATTTTTTGTTCATATTTACCCCTTCAACTTGTTAAACTGTACATATTCAGTCCTTATGACCGTATATTCCAGATTAGCCGGTAAAAATATCTTAATAGGGTAACATATTTCTCACTTTGTACACATTTAGTCCTCAATTTTTTTTGTTGCAAAATAATTTATTTTTGTTTTTATACTCATTCAATACTTATAAATGATTTCTTTAGATTTTTCTCACAACATCTTATGTCGAACAATCATTAACGATGTGTTTTAAGCTTTTGATGTTTATGTCCATCACAATCTCGATTACTTGGTTGTTTAGGTCATGTGTTTTGAACGTCGTAACTTTTTCATACTATCTTGGATTTTAACAATCTTTATATCTATGCGTTTGTATTTTAGTTTACTACAATTTTCATTTAGATTACTCTTATTAAAAAGTAATATATTTTTTACTTACGATCTTTATATCCATACGTCTGTAAATGCATGTATGGATGTTTTTTTTAGAAAATCATAAGTAAAAACATATTATATTTTAACAGGAGTAATCTTAACGAAAGTTATAGCAGACTTAAAAACGAACATGTGGATATAAAGATCGTTAAAATCAGATATCGTATGAAGAAGTTATAACGTTCGGAAACACAAAACCTAAGTCAAACCACAAGACCTATGCAACCAAGCAGTCGAGGCCTCGATGGACATAAGCATCAACAGCCCCAAACACTTCATCAATGATAGTCTCACATTAGATATCGTGAGAAAAACCCTAAATAAATCATTCATAAATACTGAATGGGTATAAAAACAAAAAAAGACTTATTTTGAAACAAATATATATATATATATATATATATATATATATATATATATATATATATATATATATATATATATATATATATATTAAGGACTAAATGTGTACAAAAATATTAAGAACTAAATGTGTACAAAATAAGAAATATATTACCTGAATAAGTTATTTTTTCCGGCTAACTTAGAGTAACCGGTTATAAGAACTGGATGTGTACAGTTTAATAAGTTCAATGGGTAAATGTGGACAAAAAAAACTCAATGACCAGATGTGTACAAATCAAAAAATATATTACTTTTTTAAGTCATTATCTTTTTAAAGTGAGCACTAAAAACTTATATGGTCTTTTGGTATGGTTTACAACTCTAGTCATGACCACAATAAATGGTGTCGTCATTGGTCTCATGGCAAGTGTCACATTTTACAAATATTGAATGAAACTTTGTAATAACAATTAGATTCTTGTTTAAAAACCTATCATGTTAAAAAAATTCTGTATGTTTTATGTTTGTCAAGAAATTATTCAATCTAACCAGTTGCATGTACTCTATAATGCAAATAATTCCAAGAAAAATTACCAACGCAAAGGTAGGACACAGAATAAGTAAACTAGATTGATTGAGGCTAATGTTGGACATAATTTTCTTAAAATAAGGGAGGTAATAATGAATTCGTTTTCTTGAATTGTTACAACAATGAGAGAAATATGTAATCTTGCCTAAAATTTAACCTAAACGGGGATGTGTTCTTGACTATATACTTGGAGTAAGTTTGCTCTCAAATTCATTTCTCTTTGGTTTGTAAAATGTATAGATAGAAATTAGTTTAAGGTGGTTTTTGTTTTTGGAGTGATAAAATGTTTTTAGTATTTTTCCATGTGTGCCAAAGAATATGTGGACCAAAACTCTTTTTTCCCTCTTTATACAAAAAGTCTTAATGAAATAGATTATTGTATTTAATGTATGTAGTCTTTTCAAATGATCCATCTTTACCAATATGTATAAAATATACATGTACGCAAGTGCAAACTAGACAACCCACAATGATTCTCTCAACAATAACGTTATTTTACATCCAAAATGTTATAGGCAATAATCAAAACCAGTTCTTTACAAGAGAATACTCCCTTCAACATATCTTATTTTCCAAACATCTACCTTGTGATTTGATTCATATTTAACACAAACTTTACAGATAAAATAAGAAGTTGTTCAGATCTTTGCTTGATTAGACAATACCTACAACACGAATTACCAAGCACTTAAAAGTTAATGAATATTTTCGAATAAAATAAAAAAGGTCAAATGTCTGACAAAAATTTGATACTAAAACAATGCTCTACTAAGTTACAAAAGTCAATAACTTTGAGCTTTGCAACCCCCTTTAGATATGGTACACTCCCATTTGTTTCCCATTAAACAAAGTATTTGAGAAATCAACACCTCATAAGGTTTTTAATTGATAAAATGGTAGATGAGATTTTACCATTAATAGATTGAACTAAATCTCATACACAAGAACTTAGAATGTCATTTCATCAAGAGAAATTAAATATCCTACTTTTTGTTTCTACAAATCCTTTACCCAATTAAATACTAACATATTAGCATTTAATGTAATACTTTAATATACTAAAATGATACATCATCATTTCATTTGATAGAAAGATTATAAGAACAAAAATAAAATAATATTTAATTTCTCTTTCATCGATGGTTTATAACGGTGGCTTTCAACCTTAACTGGCCGCTATATAATTTCACAATCCATGTTAAAATATATTAATTTGTTAAAAACCAATATTTTTACGAGTTTGAATTAGAGTGCTCGTTGATAATGTTGGATCCCCTTTGTCAAAAATGTGAGAGACATAACTCAACATCAACCTCTCTTTCTTCGGTTCAAAAGACAAAAGTGATCTTTTTATACAAAAATGACTTTCACCTTACTGATTTGAAGATTTGAAGATTTGAAGCTCAAAAAAACAAGTGAAAGCAACACAATATGAAAAGAAAAAAAAATACTAAATAAAATTCTTCTAAAACAAACAATTTAGTAGTCATCATCGGAGTAGTTTTCATCACTATCTTGATCATATATATGATATTCTCCATCACTATTTTCACCATCTTGAAACTCATTGCCTCCTCCATTATTATATGGAAAGCTACCAAAGAGATCTTGCAAGTAGCTCTTTGAAATGTTATCTTCATTTGTATCTTTACAACATATAAGAAATTCCATATCAAAATAAAGAAAAATAAATGTCATGACAAAATAAATATAAAGGAAAATTGGTAATAATAAGGATACAAGATGGTTCTTGTAAGAAATTGGTCCCATCACCAACCTAGAAACAAACATTATAAAAATAAATATTAGAAGAAAAGAATATATTTTTTAAAATAATTTATCCAAACATCATGTAAACAAAAAAAAAAGGTAGTTTCCATAACACTTACCAAATCAATATCAAAATCCTCATCCTCCATATCATCTTCTACATCATCATCATCATCATCTTCTTCTTCTTCTTCATCATTGCTCATACCTTTTTCTTCAATAATCACCTCATCTGCTTAGTCAAAGCATGGTCAAAAGTCAAAAGTCAAAAGTCAAAACCACTTGCATATTTAGCATCCATTTGTTATACATGACATGACATAACATAACATAACAGATCATGATATGACATGACATGACATGACATGGCATGGCATAGCATCATGTGATGAATCGGTCAGCATTCAGTGCGTTTGATACAGCCTTTGAACGGTTAAGGAATCCAACAATGACTTAACCATCAAGAGGTTATAATGATTCAACGCTCGACCTTTTGTCAGTGCAAAAGACGAAAACGCCCTCTTCATCAAAAAAAAAAATTTGAAAAATGGTAAATTTGCACCTCTATTGATTTGTTGGTTAACTATCGGCTCCTTTACTACAGTTCTTTTTGACTTTTCAAGACGTGAAGAAGCCGATTTGAGAAAAGACTCAGCACCAGCGTTTGGATACACGGATAGGAACCTCACAGCAACACATAACCGAAAAATCTCAAGGACATGTGGAGTAAACCAACCTGTCGCCAGCTGTAAATTTATATAAATAACATTAAAAAATAATAATAATAACATTAATTGTTATGAAAGAGTAAGAAAGAAAGACTTACATTGCAAGTTGTTTGAGTTGAAGGCTTTTTCATCTCTTGTTGAATGTAATCATCGGGAAGTTCAAATAATTGAAGTGAAATTTGACATTTGTAAGGGAAAACTCGAAAACCACATAAATCTCCCCATTTATGCTTTAATCTGCATAAAAGTTTATTTAATTATATTGTTATATTTAAATGTGAGAATTGTTTCAAATGGATTTAAATTTTGTGTAGTTATGTTTCTTAAATATAGGTTGATCTTAAAAAAGACCTTATATTTTGTTTTTTATTTGGGCTTAAACCTCGACTTTATTTTATTTTTTCTGAAAAAGACCTTGCATTTTTTCATTTTTTTCAATTTGGCCCTTTTAGTAATTTTTTTTTTCCAAAAAAAGGGTTTTATGCAGAAAAATCTCATTATTTTGGGAAAAAAAATTTATGAAGTCTTAAATGTTTGTTTTAACAAAAAAGACCCGATTATTTAACATTTTGCCTAAATTAACGAAAAAGTAGTTGTTTTATTTTAACAAAAATTGACAAAATATGTGTTTTTCTCAAAAAAAAAAATGAGACTTTTCTGTTAAAAAAAACATTTAGGATTTTATCAAAAAAATTCCCAAAATAATGGGACTTTTTTGCATAAAACCCCCAAAAAATTTTATAAAAATGTGAGGGTTTTTACGGAAAAAATGGAAAAATACAAGGTCTTTTTAGAAAAAAAAAATGAAGTTTAAGGTTTAATCCGGAAAAACATAAAATATAAGGCCTTTTTTGAGATTAACCCCTTATATAATATAAAGTTTTAAGTTATTGTAACAAACAAATTTTAGACAAATTTGTAAAAACCTTGTGAATTGAAGGGGTATTGATGAAAATCTAGAAAAGTTGGAGGAAAGGAATATACTTGGAATATACTACTTGGTGTAAACAATGGAGTGGATGAATCACTATTAACTCCATTTTTTTATAATAATAATATCAAAGTTTATATTCTAAAAAAAAAAAGATAAAATTTTATAAATGTGTTACCCGGATGCTATGCCATTATCACAATAGCTTCGTAAGGATGGAGGTACTCTGAAGTCAATCCTTTGATATCTGTTTCCCAAAACATTAAAAAAAAAAAAAAAAAAAAAAAAAAAAAAAAAAAAAAAAAAAATCAATAAATCTTTTTTTAGAATCAATAAAATTATAAATTATGATAGATTTCTCACATGCGAGATTCCGGATCTTTACGTGGATCGTATCCTTTTCTGATCCAAAACCTAAGAAAAGGTCCGTTTGAAAAATAATATGCTGCCCTAAATAGAAGCCTATAAATGAGGACATGACATAAATCAGTAAGACAACATTTTACAAATTTGCCCTCGTATATGCAAGATAAGTTTGTAAAAAGTAAACACACCTTTTCAAATAGTTGCTACTAAGTTTGAGACCTTTGTTTGACAATTGTTCAGACAAAGATTCTTTGATCCATATAGGACGCTCCTCAAATGAATCACAAACTGCCATCTGGCAATTCCATTCATCTGTTCCTTCTTTTATAAACTTTTCCCAATTTACTTTTTTAGGAACATGTGTCAACATGTTAAGAAGAATCTATAAAAGGAAATAGTGGAAGAAATAAGAAGAATCTATAAAAAGGAGTTGTAGTTAAGGATATCTTTAATGTTGAAATCAATTGCAAGACTTGGCTCAATGTCCATCTACACTCAAACAATAAGTTAGAAAGAACATAAGTTATGGTAAGATTACTGTTTTGCCCTCAAGATAAAAAAAAAATATATTATTGAAAAGTGATTGATCTTACTTACCTCCCAACGATGTTGTACAACTCCCTCTTGTTTCTTTTTCAAACTCACATACATAGATGGTTTCAACCTACAAGAATATAAATGAGGAGGGCATTTACGTCTTTTGAACGTATCTTATTGTAGCAAGATAAAACATCTTATTCTTACACCACATTCTCCGGAATATTCTTCAATGAGAAAAGGGGAGGCAATAAAATCATCAAATCCTCTTGATCCGCATCAATAAGGCCATGTTTCTCTGCAAAGTTACACAAAACATAAAAAGTTATATTTTTCAATTACATATCATTTTTTTAATAAACACGCACCAAATTGTGGTTCCACATCATCCCAATTTCTCTTCTTTTTCCGTGCCACGTCAGCATGAACACCAAGAACATGTTGGTAATCTACCATTCCTGTACGACTCAAACACAACATGTTTAAGGTTCAGGGTTTATGGTTTAGGGTTTAGGGTTTACATAAATGTAAAGATTGGACATTTTTCTCACCATTAAAATAATATGTTTCTGACACATGTCCAACAATATCTGCACAAATCGTGTCTTCTTGTTTTTCTAATATATGTGTCTCATTCTCATCATCTTCTTTCAAATGAGCATTTGCAGTGATTTCGGGTTGAATATTTTGTTTTGAAATCTTGAGCAAAAAATTGTTACAAGGGACAAGCTCCCCGTGTGCAGGATGTGAGTAAGGATCTTCAGGGCGGAAACGAAGTTCTAGAAGATTTGATGGCGACTCACGAGCCTACATATCATGCCACAAAACCTAATTGAAATTTCTAGAAGTTATTCTGAAACCTCATAGGTTTCAGAATAACTGCAAACTTTTTATACGTGACAAAAAGTTGCAGCTTTTTTGTCCCACCCACAAAAGTAGGACAAAAACTACAACTTATTGTCTCATGTCAATAAGACAAGTTGCAACTTTTTATCCTCCCAACAAGGTAGGGCAAAAAGTTGCAGCATTTTTGTCCCACCCAAAAAGTGGGCCAAAAACTACAGTTTTTTGTGGCATGTCAATGAGACAAAAACTACAACTTTTTGTCCAACCCAAAAAGAGGGACAAAAACTACATATTATTGTCTCATCCAAAAAGATGAGACAATAACTTCAGCCTTTTGGCTCACCTAAAAATGGAAGCTTTTAATATAATGGAAGAATGTGTGGGTGTGGTAATTAGCATACCATGGAAATACCTTCGGCTCCACCAAGAGTAACCAAAGCACGTTCCATAGATGAAGGGTAACCAGGATAGTTGACTCCAAAGACTTTGTTACTTGGTAAAGTTCCCGAAATACAACCATCTTTTATCACCCCCATTGATACTATTAAAGTTGCAACAATGTAAAAACTCAAGGGAATTAATTCAATACAAAGGGATAATAACACTTGAAACAAAACAAAAGCATGTGTTAAGTTAAGTAGCAAACATGGTAAAAGATGTAAAGTACTTTGCTTCAATTGGAATTGGATTATGGCACATTATATACATAGGAATTGGATTATTCATTTTAAAATTTAGGAATTTGATTACTAATCGGGAAAATATAATGATATGTGATTGGTTTTGAAGCAAAAAGACATGAGCGAGTTCACTGTTACAAATACTTTGATGATATTTGACCACTCCCCTGATATCATTAGCTAGGTATAGGATATGTTATGGTTCAATCGGTGATTAAGCATTGTGTAAAGTAAATAAAAATCAAAATTAAAATTTACTTGAATGTGAACCTGTGGTTAAACTAGTATAAATAGGATGTTCAGTTTCCCATGCTTTAATTAAAAGGAACAAAACATCAAACACCTTGTAGGCGTTAATAAAACTTGAATGAAAAGAAAAAATTGTAAGAGCTAACAAGAATTAAAACAACCAGATGCTAAATAATATGGATCCCAACGTAAAAGGAAGGCAAAATCACAACAAGAAATTAACAAAATCGTAAAACTTATTCACTGCCTGATAACCAAAATTACACACACAGTTTTATCAATGAACTAACGAAGACCTAACATACCTGGTTCAAAATCTGAGCCTGCTAATCGATGAAGAAGAAACGATGTGATTGATGAAGAAGGCAAAAGGTTGCCGGTGCTGGAGAGGGCGACGGTGGAGGAGGTGACCGGTGAGGCTTATGCGGATGGAGGGACACAATGGAGAGGAAGGAGTTAAGTCACCGTTGAAGGAGAAGAAGAGGGCAAATAAAGGCAAAGGACGTTCTTTTCTCAGTCAGCTTTTTTTCTCAGCTGATCGAACCAGGCTTTGAGGATGGAGCAAGAGGTTGAGAGTCGGATCTTACCTCTCTTTCGGTAAGAGGCCAAACAAACGACCGGTAAAACCTAAAGTGACATTAAGGGTATTGGTTTTCGGGTATTGGTTTTCAGCTCCGTCCGTGTATTATATGGGTTGATTTAAAAAAAATATTAAATATTAAAGTGTAAACAAAAAATATTTTTTAAAATTAAATTTTAAAATAAGAAAGAAAGAAACATATTTATTACAATTTAAAATCATATATATATATATATATATGATATTTAATACTTTACATATATAAGTATATGATTTTAATTTTAAAAATTGCAACAAACCAAAAGTTGACAAGTGGATAATATTTATTTCAAAATTACCACAAAATAACAAGTATCAAAACTAATGAGAGATTGACATGTGACAAAAAAAAACCTTCATTTATTAAGGAGGATGTTTTAAATGGTCATTATGTTTTTTTTCTTGCATTTAAAAGACCTAAGACTTGGTTACTATTAACCTGTTTATTAAGGACCTAAGACTTGGTAATTATGCCGAATCAGATGTCAGTATATAAAATTTAAGGCACCTTCACCTTCAAATGGGGAGGTTTCTGTTTGATATAAAGGGGATCTAGTTGGATTTTGGTGAAACTGAATATATTTTGATTTGTGGTTTAAAAGTTGGTCCTTATGTGGATTTACTCCATGACGAAAAGGGTCAGTCAAATTCAAAGCTCCGTGTTCGGTTGTTCCCAGATATGTCTGATGCACATTTGCAACTGAAAGATTTAGAAGACTTGATTATGTCCCCGAATTATTTGGCATTACAAGATGAAGATGTTGTGATGCTTATCCAGCTTGTTTTTATGTTGAAGGGTCTACATGGATGGGGCGTTAAAACGGACATTCCTGTAGCAGTATACAAGCTTGCTGATAATATAGATGATTGGAATAGGTATTACATTTAAAACAGGCATTCCTGCAGTAGTATACAATGCACTAATTATAATAAATAAATTGAAAATTACAGGTTTGCATGGGGTACGTATTTCTGGAAATATACTTCGCGTATGATGCGTGGAATGTTTGAGAAAATATAAGAGTTTAGAGAATTCAAGCAGGCCAATCCTGAATCGAAGAAAGGAAACAAGTATACTGTTTAAGGTTACTTTATAATGCATTTTAATAGTTATCATTGTTTAGTTTTTTATCTATAAAAATTTGAACTTCGTTTTGTATTATATAATAAGTTTGTATCATGACTTTTTTTTCATAGATATGGACTTCCAAGACATTCCCAGAGGCAACTAAGTTTTATATACGCACGCCAACAGAATAGCCAAGGTTGAGGGCGTGGAGAAGTAAAACACCATTAAATTGGGATCAATGTTGTCGAATAATGAACGTGTCTGTGGTATGGTTTTTATATTAACAATCATTTATATTTACAAATTTCAATGTATTTTCATGTTAAACTAACAATCTGATTTTTGCAGCCTAACAACCAACCTATTATTGTCGTGGAAAACCTGGAGGAGCTGATATTGCCGTTTTATGTTCGTTATGTTAATCGGACTCTTAACCCTGTAGAGTCTCCCTTACGGCTGTAACACCCCGTTCTTAAAGTGTTTAAATATAAGTCCCTGAGATTTAAGAGGAAGGGTAATTTTGGTCCTTTTTCGGGAAATGGGTTCTATCCGAGGAGGTTTCGGGCTGGTGTATGTTGTTATAAGCATTGGGCTTCTTGTCACCCTCGTATGAATGTAAAGTTATTTGGGAGCGGGTTTAGATTAGAGGAGTTGCGGTGTTTTGAAGTTGATCATTGTTTTAGCTCTTTGTGAAATAAGTGGGAAAGGTCCCATGCATGCATGCATTTTTGAAGTTTGGCTGGGTACGCCTACGTAAGCTGGACGTACGCCCAGCGTAAAGGGAGGAAAGATGCGGGTTGGCCGGGTGAGTACGCCCAGCGTACTCTTAGAAACCCCAAACCCTAATTTAGGGCCAACCACTATATAAGGAACATGTTGGTTCATACCCTAGCCTCCTTAAGCTCATCTTTAACCTCAGAAACCCTAAAAACTCGTATTCCCTCCATTGTTGGGTGTGTTTGACCTTGGAAAGCTCATTTTGGCAAAAGAAAGGCTAGAAGGAGAAAGGAGAAGTTGTCAAAGAAGAAGAGGAACGATTGGAGCTTGTAGATCTGAAGAGATACCATCCTTTGGAGCTTGTTTGAGGTATAAAGATTCTTGCTTGCCATCTATTTTGCATAGATCTAAGTGTTGTGGAGTTTTTAGCATCTTTCTTGTCCCAAAGTTCTCATCTTGATTCATGCTTTGTGTTGGCCGAATTATCTGTCCTTTCAGACCTTTGGAGAGGTCTTGAGTGAGAAAAATGAGGTCCCAAGGGCTATAGTTGTTCCATGTGTGAGATATATAGGTCTTAATGGATTAAGACCTTGGATTAAGAGCTTTATGGACGTCCCAAGTGATAAAGTTTGAGACTTTATGAGTTCTAATCATATTTGGCCTAAGGATCTGAAGTTTGGGCTTAAGAGCTTAAACCATTAAGTCATTATGTGGAATTGTTGAACATCAGGGTTACGCCCCGCGTAACCTTCGAGTACGCCCCGCGTAGCGGGCCAGAGCCCCGGTTCCCTTTGCGAATCAATGTTGTACGCCCCGCGTACCAAGGAGGGTACGCCCAACGTACTCCCCTGGTTGGACTTTCATATTGGGCCTTAGAGTTTGGGCTGTTTTTGGGTTGTTGGTTTATAGGCCATGACTGGGAATTTATGGATAGAGTATTTTGGACCCAATTATTGTTATGGACATTGGATCTAGGCCCATTTGGTGAGGTGGGCCCAATTTGGTAAATTGGGCCAATATTGGACTTTGTATGAGATTTGGACTTTGGTCTTGGCCGATAAGTGGATGTATGATTGGCCTAATGTTTATTTTGTTATAATGGTTAGTTCGGGATTTTCGGTGAGTTGGTGATTCCAGAGTCTGCTTCTTCAGTTCAGGGTATCGGCATTTGCGAGGTGAGTTATCCTCACTATATCTACAGGGTCTAAGGCACCAAGGCCGGCCCGTTATCGGATTAAGATTCAGATATTTGTTGTTATGTTATTGCTTTGATATGTCTGCATCCTGGTAGCTAGGGTGATATATGATTAGAGACCTGGTTAAGGTCGGTTTCCTGATATGTAGGGTGATGCTATGCTAGTGACCGGTTAGGTCGGTATCCTGGTTAGGATGATGATATGTTATGTGATCTGTTTGATCGGCTTGTTAACTGTAAACTCTTATATGATTGTATGTTTATGTGCACATGGTTGTTTGGACTGGAGTTGGGTTGAGGCGAGTCCTGCTTTGTGCTGTAGGCCAAGATACCTAGGGCGGACCGGTTGTTCCGAAGGCCCAATGAGCGGTCCGGATAGGCTGTAGGCCCCAGGAGGGCGGACCAGATGTGCCGAGGCTCGGAGAGTGGACCAGGCCGGCTGAAGGTCCGATGCGGGCGGACCAGTCATATTGTAGACTCAAAGAGTGGACCAGGTGGGTTGAAGGCCCGGTGCGGGCAGACCAACCACATTGTAGACTCGAGGGACATGACTAGACTCGGAGGATGGACCTGATGGACTGAAGGCCCGATACGGCGGACCAATCACACAGTAGACCCGATATGCATGGTTGTTCTATGTTATGTTATGTTGTGTATGTTATTTATGTTATGGGCCGGAAGGCACTATGTTATAGGCCGGAAGGCATTATGATTTGGACCGGAAGGTCGTAGCCTGGAAGGGCGTATATGTGGTTGATATTTTGGGGGTACCTCACTAAGCTTTCGGGCTTACAGTTGTGGTTTAATGTTTTTCAGGTTCTTCAGGAGACCGTGGCAAGGAGAAGGCATGATCGTACCGCTCCTCGTGTTTATATTTTGACATGGTTCTGGGAATACTCTGATAATAAATGTATTGAAAACCTTTTTGTAATAACATTATTAAAATGGGTTGTTTTTGAAAAGTTTAAATTTTGTTGAAATTTTTGGTTGTTACAAGTTGGTATCAGAGCCTTGGTTTGAGTGAATTGGAGGAACATTCGTGTGAATCCAGTCTCAAATCAAGGAGAGTTTTTAAAAGAGAAATTAAAATGGTTTTCAAAATTAAGTAAAAAGACGATGCGGAGGTACGATCAGCCGGAGCCAGTAAGTAACCCCAAAATACCATACATGATATTTGTTTTCGAGCTTTGATAGAACAGCATGCTAGTACTAGGCTAGGGATCTTCAGGATTACATGATAATGTTGCCTGTTTTATGATGCCTGCTAGCCTAGGGTTTTCCTTTGTATGAGATTTCTAGTGTTCCTTTAGGAGTGAGGATTGAGCGCTTGCTATATATATTTGTCACTAAGGTGTTGTGGTAGTACTTTATACAAATATGGGTAGATGTGGAAGGTAGTATGGGCCCGTACTACTGAAAGCACAGGACCCATACGCATATCAGGGAAACCATGACCTCTAGGGTTGGGTTGAGAGTTGGTTCCCGGGATAGTGGGAAGTGTCTGAGAATTTGTGGTTTATTTTCAGTATGGAGATTTCGAGGCATGCTGGGAATGGATCCAGGTCAGGATCGGGAGCAGGAGAGGGAGTTCCGGGCGGGTCAGTACCGCCCGAGGTTATCGGACAGACGAGCACGTGTGTGTTGGATGCGAGGATTCGTGAGATCCTGCATGATAAGGTTGCTGCGTTGTTCCGGGCCGAGCTGCCGGAACTGTTTGGGTCGATCAAGACCGCCATGGTGGAGTATTTTGATGAGCGTTATGCGGCTCTCACTAAGACGGCTGCCGCGGCGGCTACAGCGGCTGTAGCAGCGGCAGAGGGAGGAGCTAGTAGAGGTTTTTAGTATCGGGACTTCGATAATACGAAGCCTCCCACCTTTGATGGAGTTCAGGACCCGATCTTTGCTATGAGATGGTTATCGGACGTGGAGGGGTGTTTCTTCACGTGTTCATGCCCTGCTGATCAAAGGGTGAGGTGTGCTCTGAACCTGTTAAGGCTCGGGGAAAAGGATTGGTGGAGATTGACCACGGGGTCATACTCGGATGCGCAGAGGGCTGCGGTTTAATGGGATTAGTTCAAAGAGATGTTTAGCACTCGTTATATTCCGCAGGTCGAGAGGGAGAGGTTGTCTCAGGAGTTCCTTGAGCTGAAGCAGGATTCGGAGTCGGTGACGGAGATCACCAGGATGTTTACTGAGAGGGCGATGTTTTTCCTTGAGTTCACTTCGGACCAGGCTCATATGTCCCAATATCTGAGTATGCTAAAGAGAGATATCAGACAGTTTGTGTCTGCACAGAGGTGCGAGACTTTGTTGGAGTTGCAGGAGGCTGCCAGGCGGCGTGAGTTAGAGATTGAGTTGCAGTTGCGTGAGCTGAGGCAAGCTCCGGTGCAGTCGCAGCCGGCGACGAAATGGTCTAAGACCGTTGGATATCAGGGCAGCCACGTTTGTGGGAAGTGTGGGAGGGGTCACACCGGAGTTTTTCGGTCTGGTGGTGCATGCCACAAGTGCGGAAAGGAGGGGCACTATGCAAGGGATTGTTGGCAGTCAGCGCCGGTTCGAGATTTGAGGATTTGTTATCATTGTCATCAGGTTGGGCACTTGAGGGTCAATTGCCCACAGCTTGCTGCAAGATCGGTGCAGGCTCCAGCACCGACCACTTTGAGGATCACAGGTGGAGGTCGGGGTGGAGCAGAGCCCCCAAGGGCTCAGAGTCGTGCTTTTCAGCTTTCAGCAGAGGAGGTCAGAGCAGTGTCGGATGCAGCTGTGGGTATGTTCCTTTCTTGATATCTTGTTATCTTGTGATTATTGTGGAGTATTATTATCTGCTAGTATCATTGGGTGGTTTTTCGCTCTGGTATCGGTTGTTCCTTGAGGGTTTGGTATGGTTATGGGTTTTCGTTTGTTATCATTCATGAGGGTTATTAGTGGATATATGGCATTGGTTGGAATGTCGGGTAGCATATGCAGTCCGAGGAGTGGTTAGCCGAAGATTGAGTTTCTTTCGAGCGGGATGATCAGTGTGGAAATGTGTTTTTGCGAAGGTTGCTAGTGCTAGTGGGAATCAGTCCGCGTGTAAGTGTTGGGTTTTGTGCAAGGTTGTTTTGGGAGGTCGGTGATAGCAACCGGTGGTTGATAGTCAGTGCCCTAAGTGGGGGAGAATTGGAAATTTTCCGGATAGTCGACAGGCTTGAGAGATTGTTTAACTGCTTGGGATTCAGCGGTATTTCTGTCAGCCGAGAGCAGGCTGGTATGGGTGAGTAGCAGGCGTGCGGGGCGGGATACAGACCTATAGCATTGATTGTGGAGGGGCTGGGATCAGGCTGGGATCGAGTATGTATGATGGAGATAGAGTGCGGAACCCCTAGAGGGCTAGAACAATATGCATGGGAGGATTTCCCGGAGAGATAACTCGGAATGATGGATGCTAGTCGAGCGGTCCGGATAGACTGAAGGCCGGTAGGCGTACCAGTCAGGCTAAAGGCTCGGAGGACGGTCCAGTTAAATTGAAGGCCCTGGAGGGCGGTCTAGATTGGCTGAAGGCTTGGTAAGGCGGACCAGTCATGCTGAAGACTCTGCAGGTTTATTTAGACCGGTTCGAGGGAAAAGGTTGAATATGTCGTGATGTGTTAGCATTAGAAGGTCTGGCCCCGGGTATTGATCTTGATTAGTGGAGATGGTGCATGGACTCGAGAGTCCTTGCGAGCAGGTTCAGAACATGTGTGTTGCATGGATAGCGGTTATACTATAAGTGAGTGTATATTCGCGGAAGTGAAAGCAGCAGCGCAACGTTATGATTGAAGTGGTCCAATTATGGTCTTTGAGCAGCGTGATTTCGGCAGTGGTATGGGATCACATCCGGGTTGGATGGTTGCTGAGGCTCGGCAGGAATGCATGGGTGGAATCTCGGAATTCCAGTTAGATTTTGTTTTATGTGGTGAAAATTCATCCGGAAGGATGTTTGGAAGTGTCATCAGTGTATCGGGGTTTTTCCTAACCAAGGACACTAGATCCAGTTTAGTGTGGTTATGATATTGTAGTGGAGAACTCGTAGGAGTTGCTCTGAGGCTGAAGCATGTGTCATCCTGTCAGCAAGAAAAGTAAAGTTGGGTTTTGGATTTCGATGGTCGAGTTTTGAGGAACCTGGTCTGGTGAATGCCAGGCGGTGCATTGCAAGGGTAGTTTCGGATTAGAGTTGTCGCACGCTTCGAGGACGAAGCCTAATTTAAACGGGGGAGAATTGTAACACCCCATTATTAAAGTGTTTAAATATAAGACCCTGAGATTTAAGAGGAAGGGTAATTCTGGTCCTTTTTTGGGAAATGGGTTCTATCCGAGGAGGTTTCGGGCTGGTGTATGTTGTTATAAGCATTGGGCTTCTTGTCACCCTCGTATGAATGTAAAATTATTTAGGAGCGGGTTTAGATTAGAGAAGTTGCGGTGTTTTGAAGTTGATCATTGTTTTAGCTCTTTGTGAAATAAGTAGGAAAGGTCCCTTGCATGCATGCATTTTTGAAGTTTAGCTGGGTATGCCCAGCGTAAAGGGAGGAAAGATGCGGGTTGGCCGGGTGAGTACGCCCAACGTACTCTCAGAAACCCCAAACCCTAATTTAGGGTCAGCCACTATATAAGGAACATGTTGGTTCATACCCTAGCCTCCTTAAGCTCATCTTTAACCTCAAAAACCCTAGAAACTCGTATTGCCTTCATTGTTGGGTGTGTATGACCTTGGAAAGCTCATTTTGGCAAAAGAAAGGCTAGAAGGAGAAAGGAGAAGTTGTCAAAGAAGAAGAGGAACGATTGGAGCTTGTAGATCTGAAGAGATACCATCCTTTGGAGCTTGTTTGAGGTATAAAGATTCTTGCTTGCCATCTATTTTGCATAGATCTAAGTGTTGTGGAGTTGTTAGCATCTTTCTTGTCCCAAAGTTCTCATCTTGATTCATGCTTTGTGTTGGCCGAATTATCTGTCCTTTCAGACCTTTGGAGAGGTCTTGAGTGAGAAAAATGAGGTCCCAAGGGCTATAGTTGTTCCATGTGTGAGATATATAGGTCTTAATGGATTAAGACCTTGGATTAAGAGCTTTATGGACGTCCCAAGTGATAAAGTTTGAGACTTTATGAGTTCTAATCATATTTGGCCTAAGGATCTGAAGTTTGGGCTTAAGAGCTTAAACCATTAAGTCATTATGTGGAATTGTTGAACATCAGGGTTACGCCCCGCGTAACCTTCGAGTACGCCCCGCGTAGCGGGCCAGAGCCCCGGTTCCCTTTGCGAATCAATGTTGTACGCCCCGCGTACCAAGGAGGGTACGCCCAACGTACTCCCCTGGTTGGACTTTCATATTGGGCCTTAGAGTTTGGGCTGTTTTTGGGTTGTTGGTTTATAGGCCATGACTGGGAATTTATGGATAGAGTATTTTGGACCCAATTATTGTTATGGACATTGGATCTAGGCCCATTTGGTGAGGTGGGCCCAATTTGGTAAATTGGGCCAATATTGGACTTTGTATGAGATTTGGACTTTGGTCTTGGCCCGATAAGTGGATGTATGATTGGCCTAATGTTTATTTTGTTATAATGGTTAGTTCGGGATTTTCGGTGAGTTGGTGATTCCAGAGTCTGCTTCTTCAGTTCAGGGTATCGGCATTTGCGAGGTGAGTTATCCTCACTATATCTACAGGGTCTAAGGCACCAAGGCCGGCCCGTTATCGGATTAAGATTCAGATATTTGTTGTTATGTTATTGCTTTGATATGTCTGCATCCTGGTAGCTAGGGTGATATATGATTAGAGACCTGGTTAAGGTCGGTTTCCTGATATGTAGGGTGATGCTATGCTAGTGACCGGTTAGGTCGGTATCCTGGTTAGGATGATGATATGTTATGTGATCTGTTTGATCGGCTTGTTAACTGTGAACTCTTATATGATTGTATGTTTATGTGCACATGGTTGTTTGGACTGGAGTTGGGTTGAGGCGAGTCCTGCTTTGTGCTGTAGGCCAAGATACCTAGGGCGGACCGGTTGTTCCGAAGGCCCAATGAGCGGTCCGGATAGGCTGTAGGCCCCAGGAGGGCGGACCAGATGTGCCGAGGCTCGGAGAGTGGACCAGGCCGGCTGAAGGTCCGATGCGGGCGGACCAGTCATATTGTAGACTCAAAGAGTGGACCAGGTGGGTTGAAGGCCCGGTGCGGGCAGACCAACCACATTGTAGACTCGAGGGACATGACTAGACTCGGAGGATGGACCTGATGGACTGAAGGCCCGATACGGCGGACCAATCACACAGTAGACCCGATATGCATGGTTGTTCTATGTTATGTTATGTTGTGTATGTTATTTATGTTATGGGCCGGAAGGCACTATGTTATAGGCCGGAAGGCATTATGATTTGGACCGGAAGGTCGTAGCCTGGAAGGGCGTATATGTGGTTGATATTTTGGGGGTATCTCACTAAGCTTTCGGGCTTACAGTTGTGGTTTAATGTTTTTCAGGTTCTTCAGGAGACCGTGGCAAGGAGAAGGCGTGATCGTACCGCTCCTCGTGTTTATATTTTGACATGGTTCTGGGAATACTCTGATAATAAATGTATTGAAAACCTTTTTGTAATAACATTATTAAAATGGGTTGTTTTTGAAAAGTTTAAATTTTGTTGAAATTTTTGGTTGTTACAACGGTAACATAGTCCTGTTCGAAATAGTCCACCTCATGTTGCCTCGCCTGCTCGAAGAAGGATGTACAAGTCCGAAATAGAAACATCTTCAACTGAATCTGCCACAAATGCTTCTTCCTCGCAACATCTTGAAACAAGTTATATGTCAAACGACACATCAAGATTGGTAAAGAAGAACAAGACGAGCACAATGCCATTTGTGAAGCGTCTACTAGTCGTTGTGGCTGACTTAAGTTCTAAAGTAGACCGTGTATTACAGAAAAAAGATGAACCAGACACAACTGTTGAACCAGACAGAGGGTTTCGAGAGGAGGAAGAGATGATAAATGAAGAGGATGAAGAAAAAATATTACCATGATACACATTTTGACTATGTTGATATTGGTACTCATGGTTTGGAAGGGGAATTTGGGCCTACACCTACGCATGTTGAGCAGTCATCGGACGTGGGTGAACATCACATAAAAGAAATGAATCCTATTGTTAGGCCACAACGAAAGAGAGGTGTTCCATGGTATTAGTGGACTCCATTCACAGTGGTACAAAACTCATATTTTAAATTTGGTATACTTTTAAAATATTAACGTATTGATAATTATTTAACGGGAAATCTTCAAAAAAGTCCCAAACTTTTGGGTAAAGTTACACTTTTGTCCCAACATTTTTTTTTGAACAAAAAAACCCAGGAAACCAGGTAAATTGAACATTTCGGCCCTATTTTACTGGTGACCTTCATTTAGCTAGTTAAATTGGCTTATGTGGCAAGGACTTATTTACGTGGGTTTAATCGATCTCATTTACACACATACATACACAATACAACTTACCTCTCTCATTTCACTTTCTCCCTCCCCTCAGTAAACTAGTGTTTTTTACCCCCGTGCAATTGAAATCATGGATGACATCTATGATTTTGATACAATAGATGTGGAGTTGGATGCGTACTTCAAAAAGAAACAAGCTTCCCAATGCAAAGATGAATTTATCAATATTCTATGTGAAGAAGACAATTACGAGGCAGTAGATGGTGCTTAAACTGAAAATGATGCTCTAATTGGAAACGATGCTCAAACTGGAATCCCTAAAGAAGAATCAGATGAAGATTATCTGGAAGGTAGTAATGAGGAAGGTAGTGATGAGGAATTTGAGTATTCCACCCACAATCCAAAGGTGAAATGGAACAAAATGAGACCAATGCTTGGTGAAAGGTATGAATCCCCACATGAACTGAAATTGTGTTTGACCAACTATGCTGTTAGTAAGGGTTTTCAAATCCGTTTCAAAAAATGTGATAGTGTTAGACTAGTGGCAATATGTGGAAGTGATCCAGAGAAGTGTCCATTTGTGGTTCGGGCTTCTTGGATGACTACTGAAAGGTCTTTCCAAGTCAAAAAGATGATAGACATTCATAAATGTGTTAGGAATTTTAACAATTCAAGGCTTGTGGATCCTACCTGGTTAGCTAGGAAATTTGTGAAGGAGTTGATTAGGAAACCTAATTTAAAATGCAAAGAGATGCAGGTAATTATAGAAAGTAAATTTCATTGCAAAATTTCATGGTCAAAGTGTTATAGATCAAGGATAAGGGCACTGTCGTTAATTCATGGGAATTTGAGTGACCAGTACGCAAGAGTTTAGGATTATGGGCATGAGCTACAGAGGTCCAATCCAGACAGCACAGTTAGGATTACAGTTACTGTAAACCCTGATAATACCAGAACATTTCATAGATTCTACATTTGCTTTAAAGCAATAAGAGAGGGGTGGAAAAGGGTATGTCGTAAGGTAATAGGATTGGATGGTTCTTTTTTGAAGGGATAGTGTAAGGGTGAATTGTTAACTGCAATAGGTAGGGATGCCAATAATCAAGTGTATCCTATAGCTCGGGCAGTTGTTGATGTAGAGAACAAGAACAACTGGAAATGGTTCCTGGATTTGGTTAATGATGATCTTGGATTGCAGGGTGGAAAGGGTGTGTGTGTAATCAGTGACCAACACAAGGTAAAGTAACTATCTCTTTATGTTTCATTATTTAAAATAGTGTATGGTGTTGCTAATTAACTTTTTTTTTTCATGTTATAGGGTCTTATTAAAGCTAGTAAGGATATTCTACCATATGTTGAGCACAGGCAATGTGCAAGGCATATCTATGCCAATTTCAGAAAAGTTTATAGTGGAGTGCAGTTCAGAAACATGTTTTGGGCAGCTGCAAAATCTACCACAGAAGGAGATTTCAAGTTTAATATGGAAAGGATTAGGGTAATAAGTTCTGCTTCTTATGATCATCTCATGGCAAGGGAACCAACTTCATGGTGCAAGGCTTATTTCTCTACTGGATTGGCTTGTGAGGCTGTAGAGAATGGGATTGCTGAGTGTTTCAATGCAATCATTGTAGACGCAAGAAAGAAACCTTTGTTGACTATGCTTGAAGAGATTAGGCTTTACATGATGGAAAGGGCTTTCAATCTGAAACAAGAAGCTAAAAACTAGGTTGGTGAAGTTTGTCCTTCCACGGTATCAAAGATGGAAGAATTTGGAGAAGACATTAAGTAAGTATTCTCAATTGTTTTGTTTTTACATGTTCTATCTTATGTGTTTGCATCTTATGTTCTATCTTATATGTTTGCAGAAGTTGGCATGCAGTTCCAAGTGGAGTGAATGAATATGACGTAAGGAATGGGTTTCAGAACTATGGAGTTAACTTGAAGGAAAAAATATGTGCTTGTAGATTATGGGAACTTTCAGGAATACCTTGTGTGCATGCACAAGTGGCAATATTGTACACCAATCAAGATCCAATTAACTTTATAAGTAGTTGGTTCAGCAAGAATAATTACAAGGCAACTTATGATCAGAATATACACATAGTTAATGGAAGTATCTTATAGGAAGAAACAAGTTACACTAAGCCCCTTCCACCCATTTAAAGGAGGATGCCAGGAAGGCCTAGTGTTAAAAGAAGAAGACATGTTTCAGAAAATCAAGACAAGTACTCTCAAGTGTCAAGTAAGGGTAGAACTGTCCAGTGTAAAAATTATCTACAAAGGGGACACAATAAAACATCATGCAAGAATCCTACAGTGGTTCCAAAACCTCAACCAAAGAAAAAAAAGGGTAGGCCTAGGTTGGAACATGATTTGGTTAATTGGTAAGGAACTAAAAAAGGATCTAGAAGTGGTGGAAGGGTTGGTGGAGGAAGGAGTAGAGGTGGTGGTAGGGGATCTAGTGGAAGAGGCAATAGAGGTGGTGGTAGGGGATCTAGTGAAGGAGTCCAAACAGAATATGGGGAGGGTACTTCTGAGTTTCCTAAATGTGAGCCTGAAGTTGTTGTCATTCCAAATGTTAAGAGTGAAAATGTTGAGAGTGAAAATGATGCAAGTCCAGATTTTCACAATCATATAAGCTTAACAACTGACAACCTAAGGAAATCTTTATACACTACAGAAGAGGTCATGGACTGTCTTGGACTCAGTGAAGCAGAATTAGAACAAATTGAAGGTCTTGGATTGAGTGAAGCAGAAGTACAACAAATTGAAGATGTGGATGTTGCTATGTCACAAGTATGCTTTCTTTCTCATTATTCATTTTGTGATGTTAAATCTTGCTAACTGGTCTTTTTGTTATGCTTGTTACAGGATGTTGGAATTGCTAGCCAAATAACAGTTGAAGAACTCCCTACAAATCAAGTACTTGGAGATGAGGAAATGATGAATGGGTAGGATGGCATAGATGATCCAAGGATGGGTGATGTAATGATGAATGAGGAAAGGATGGAGAGAGAGAAAGAGAAAAAGAAAGAGAGAGATAAATACCTATCACACAACAATTGAATCAAGTCAGAAGGAGGACTACAAAGAGGAGCAAAGTGAATCAAGTTAGGAGGAGGAAGCCTTCGAAAAGGATAACAGAGATCCAATTGCAAAAGGTGGTAGCTATCAAGAATGGAAAGGGGATGAGTTCATCCAACCCCCCCTTAGTCTAGATTAGGGTGTTTCTAATCCCTACTTCATTCATAATCATATGAGTAACAAGATACTACATTCATAGTAAACTAACAACCCTTAGTCATAACCAAAACAAACACAACCAAAATACATTAAAACAACTTTCTATTTTACCAATCCATCAACATAACAAACAAAAACACAAAAGAAACCACAGAGACATAAAGCAATGATTTCCATCTTCCTCCTTCCATTGCTTGTTGTGCAATTGGTTGTTGTGTCATTGGTTGTTCCACAACATCTCCAAAAAAGTTCCCAGCTGGTTGTTCTTGCCCAAACTCCCCAAATATTCGATGGTTCTCCAAATTGACATTGTTGTGTAATACTAATAACAGATCTGCATACCACTGGCTTGGTAGAGGAGGATCCACCCAACGAAAGTACTTGCAATCTTTGAGTCCATTCTGGTAATTTGGGCATCCTATAAACCTTCTTCCTGGGTTTAATGGAGTCCATGAAGTCCATCTCCCTACAGGATCACCACAGTAGCACCTCTTTCTGAGACGATTCATTGAAGATGAAGAAGACGAAGAAGACATTTGTCTTGGTCCTCCACTGCTCCTGCTTCAATTGTTGTCTGTTAGGGCACGAATGAAGTTTCACACTATATTTAGAGTTTAATACAAGGCCATTAAATGAATCACCAACCACCTCAGCAAGTCCTTGCCACATAAGCGAATTTAACCGGCTAAATGAAGGTCACCGGTAAAATAGGGCCGAAATGTTCAATTTAACCGGTTTCCTGGTTTTTTTTTGTTCAAAAAAAAAATGTTGGGACAAAATTGTAACTTTTCCCAAAAGTTTAGGACTTTTTGAAGATTTCCCTTATTTAACATGTTAATTTTTTAGTTTCAATCCACACCAAAAGTGAAGAAAACCACCAAATCAAAGAAAAAAAAAGTGGTGAAGAGTCTTAAAAAACCAAATGAAGACATTGTGAATGAAGAGAGTAATGATGTTTCAAATCATCTCCTGCTCGACAGTCTTGAACCTGCCAGTACGTTGAGTTTTTGGAAAGAATGGAATTCGATCTCTTCCAACCTAAACACTAAGCATAGGCTGCATATGCTCACACTGGATGTGGAGTTTTGGTCGAGGTTACTTGCAGTTACTGACACTGGGTGGTTAATTTCTTCGGTAACATTCGCTAAGTATAACTTTTAACTATAATTTTAGATGATAATTTATATAAAAAGCTGTAACATTTTTTATCTTAAAATGTACAACATATTGCGATATGGAGTTCCTTGCTCATGGAAAGACGGCCGACGAACACAAGGTGGACGATATTCCCTCAAGAACTTAATTTGCAAAATGGAAAAACATATTTTCTTAGGAATATAGCAAATGGTGTCGGAGGCCATCCTGAATGGAAGGATGTGGATATGGTTAGTTAAGTTTATTAATTATTTATTTTATATAGGGAACGAATTAATGACTATTAAATTTGTTTTTGTTTGCAGGTTCTATTCCCCATAAATGTTCCTCATGCCCATTGGCTTTTGGCAGTGCTACATTTAGATCTTTGGAAAGTACACATTTATGATTCAACACAATGTATGAATTACTTCACAACGTACTTGACTGGTGGAGAATTCAAAAGTTTTGGGGATAGTATAATTGAAGAGCTAGATGCGATTGACTACCGGAAGGATTTCCCCGATGGACACAAAGACAACGCAGTTGTGGAGTTTATTGATATTGTAGACACGCCACAACAAGAATATATTATTAATAGAGGGGATTATGGAGTATTCGTAAGCATGTATATGGAAATGATTGCTTTGGGGGTACCGGTGAACAATGATAAGCCATGTAGAGATGCAGGATTTCTCTACAGAAATAGGATAACAAATATTATTTGGGATACTAAATAACTTGATGTTTGGAAGTGTGTATACATTATTATGAAATACTTGTTTTTAGTAGTTTTGTTTAATATAAACAACTTTTGTATCATATTTTTTGAAACATAATTCACCAACATATATTACAAACATTTGAAATAGCATAATAACATTACAGAAAACATTACAAATAAAAGATGAACGACTAACAAACATTACATAGAACATTATGAATAAAAGAGTCGTCTACATGAAAAAGGGTTTATTTCTAACCAGATTCCAAACGTCCGTATACTCGAACTCAGTTTCATCAAACTGGCATAGGTAATATCCGTTCACGTATTCAAGAAGTTCTTCATCATCAACATTAGAGCATCACATTTTCTCATAATTGTAGCATCGATTGTACCATGTGACTTTAGTCTTTAAATCCATTTATTTACTAACAATATCGGGTTTTAGTCGTTCTTTTCCTTGTCCCGATTTATAGTTGAACAAAGCTACTAAGCGGGACCATTCATCACCAAGAAGATAATTAAGGGGAGCCATTACCGGTAGACCCTCGTAAACGGTAATCTAACATCGTGTTAGGACCAAAACCTCTGTTGTCGTCCATGGAGATGTACCATTTGTTGGAGTAGATGCATTAGACAGATTAGCTGAATTTGAAGACGTTGGTACATTGGATGCCATTTTGTGAAACGATCCCTTACCTCTAATTCAGACGTATAGATATGTGCTTTACTATATATAAAAAGATAGGTAACACGGACTGACCATTCGCTTTGCGGACTGACAAGTCAGTAATGTGGACTGACAAGTTAGTAACGCGGACCGACCATTCACTTTGCGGACTGACAAGTCAGTAAAGCGGACTGACGAACAACTCTTTGAGGATTAGAAGGGTCTATATATTGTCATGGATGATCGTTGGATATTTGCAGACTGGCATGTCTATATAAAATGACAAACAATAATGTATCACTTCATCTAAGGTATTTTAGTTCATGTACTTTGTATGTTTTACAATGGCTTCAAACCGATGGACCACTAACGGGTATTTGCTTCTAACTCGTGCATATATTAATGTCAAAGAGAACACCAGTTTGGAGGATATAATGTTTTGGGTCCTATTAACGAATACCTTCAACACTGACGCTGAAACCACCATACAAAACCATCGTAACACGCTTGATATAGCTACAAAATGGTATGAATTGAAAACAAAAGTTGTGTTATTCAACAATATTTATAATAAGATTGAAGACGATCGTGTGAATGATACTTAGGAAGACATCTTGGAGGCAGCTAAAGAAGAATACAAATCCATTAGCAACGGGCAAAATTTCAAGTATGTACCCCTTGGAATCTTTTGAAAAATGTCTTGTTTTTTAATTAGTACTGTGTTTTGTATTGTTCTTGTATTGCTTTATTTATATGTAATATGGTATTCATCCTTTATTTTTTGAAAAATAATTCACCAACAAATGTTACGAAACCATACATTCAAATAACATAATCTGACAAACAGGTTACGTGGATTGACAAATAAGTTACGCGTACTGACAAGTCATTTACGCGGACTGACAAGTAAGTTCTGCAAAATAATGTATACTAATTCCTTATAAATTGGACAACCATGGCGAAAATTTACAAGGTGTCGAAAGTTGTGAAAATGAGTTCAGTCAATCAGGTATTAAGGAAAAGTTTCTCTAACCTACTGACTTTTTTCCATAATCTGCAAAGAACCAATCCTAACACCTTCACGTACATTACGAAAGATCATTACAATTGTTTCCAAATTTGTTTCGTGGCATTGGGATGCATGGTATGTAATCCCTTATAGTAAATAAATATTTAGTTATTTCAAGTTGTTATATGCCTAATATTCTTATGTTGACTTACAGATTCATACGTTTCTCACGTCTATGATACCAATCATATTCGTTGGTCAAGTACCTCTAATTGGGGCGTATGTAAGATCCATGTACATTGCGGTTTCTTTAGATGGAAATCATGAACCCCTTCTCATAGCGTTTTCTTTAGGAATCATAAACAGTGACAATTCATGGTTATGGTTCATGAGGAGGTTTAGAGAATGTTTAGGTGACAATACAAAAGTTGGTTTCATAAGTCATATGTCTGATTCTATAGACTTTGCAGTTCAAAGAGTCTACCCTAATTCATATCATGGCTATTGTTGTAAAAATATAGTCGAGAAAATATGCGCTTCCATCAGAAGCAATCCAGTCGTAGAGCAGTTGTTCTGGAAGACTTGTAAAGCGTATCATTTATCTCATTTTTATGCATGTTTGAACAACTAAAAAAATGAGGTTAATGGGAATGATCTTCATTGGCTTGATAATATTCCCATTGCAAAATGGGTACGGGCTTGTTTTCCAAGAGTATGTTTCAATGTTAAATTCATTGACATTCCCGTTGTTGTCAATTGGTTTAAAACAAACACGCATGAGTTTCCAATAACAACAATCATTGTAATGGTCCATGACTCGATGCAAACAGTGTATCTTCAACGTGCTGCGTTTGGAGGTAATTATAAGTTATGACATCACTCAAATGGTGAATTGATATGTTATTATACGTTATGACATCATAATTTTTGTTTTTTGATTCAGTTCATTTCACAGGGGATTTTCATAGTCTTCTAACCCCTTATGCACTTAAGGTGATTCATAAAAGATTTATCCACTTGGATGGTTGTAGGATTACGCATATTGTTGGCGACAGATATGAAGTGACTAAGTATTCAACAACTGAATCTGTCCAATTAGACCGTGGTATTTGTAGTTGCGGTAAATGGAAAAAATACGGTATACCTTGTGAGCATGCTATAACTTCACTACAAAGACTCGAAATTGCAGAAATCCAGCAAATGGTAAATTTAAAGTTAGGTACAGCGGTGTATCAAAATGCTTATCAAACTGAGACGGTCAATCCTATTCCAACCCTTAGGCATTGGGAAAAACCAGTTGAAAGTGTTGTGGTCTTACCTCCATACCAATTCATTTGAACTGTATTGTATGGATCACAACGAATATTAGTTTGTACTCAGTTCTATGTTAACTGTAGTTGTAATGGTCTGTTGGCGTTCTTTACTTTTTAATAAAAAAATGTTTACCTTTAAATAAATAATTGTATTCCCATAATTGTAATGTATGGATGACAACGACTAGACAAACAGCTCTGCAGACTGACAAACATTATTGCGGACTGACAAAAACCTCTGCGGACTAACAACTCTTTATGGAGTAGAAGGGACTATATATAGTCATGGATGGTCGTTGGATTTTTGGTATAGAGTTATAATTTTTTTTAATTTAAAATGAGTTCATCTTCAACTTTGTATATTTGCTTGTGCAACGAAGTTGATTGTTTCTATTGTGATCCGATAGACCCTTTTCTTGCCCCATCACCAAATTTAAGAGAGTCGTATATGTCGGATGATACTTTGCAACAACTACAATGGGCTGAAATACAAAAAAAGATAAAGACTCATCTCGAGCTCTCACTGAACGTCGTGGCCTCATTGCGGCGGAGTGCAAGGAGGTTGAGGAAAGGATGACGATTACTAAAAAAAAATCAAAGATCATGAGGAATGGATAAAAAAAACTAAGAAGAATATCAAACTGTCTGAAAAATGGCTTGCTGACAAGGATGCATAAATGATAGAACTAGGTAGCCAAAAGGACCGTATGGAAGATAAAATAAGAATTAGGGATGACTACATAACAATGGAGAAAGAAAAGTATCCTTTGCAATTCCCTTAAGTTAATTACTATTGTTGTATGTTTACTATATGTTTTTGGTTTGTTGAATGTATTATCTTCGAGTATTAGTTATTATTCTACTAGTAATTATACACTAATATAATCATAATATTACCCATCATCTTTAAAATAAACACACCATTTCAAAGTACACAAATTAATGTCCTCTAAAACAAAACATAATTAATTATAAATACAACATCAATCATTCAAATCAAACGTTGAACAATAGTCTTCTCTCTGCGTCCCACTAGTCCAACGCGTCTCTTGTGTCCCGTGCGTCTCTTGAGTCCCTTTTGTCCCTTTCCCTTTCCCTTTTGTGTTACTACCTAATTCCGCACTACTTTTTGTAGCTTTTTTTGTTTCTTTGGGACCAATGTCGAACAAGTCGCTGCATTATGTGTTGTACTATCACATCTACACACCTTCTTACTATAGGTTCCTCACCTTGTGATAGGATACAATTTCTGTTTCTCGGTCTACCAGCTTGACATGTATCCATTATCGGGGGTTTAACAACCATCATCTCAGTAGGAATCTCCCAATCACACGGTTCTGGAAGGGGGTAAACCAACTCCTCATACGTACTTTGGTACGTTTCCATTTTGTAAGCATCTATAGCCAGATGTTCGAAGTTAGTTTTTTTCAAGTGCTTCAAGACCATTATGACATGAGCACAAGGCAACCCAGTTCCTTCCCAATATTTGCATGTACAAGTCTCTTGCCTCAGATCAACTATGCCGCCATGTTTGAAATCATGAACTTGATATATATTGCATCTGAAACACTAGAAACGGACCATCCTGTCGTACGCTCTTCATTTTTACTAACTACTTTTTCAGCCCACTCGGTTAGCATTGTTGAACGTTTCCCTGTAAAGAAGATATATATAATTAACTTATTATTCGACCTAATTAAAGTCCAAATTAAATTCATACCTCCTTCGATGCGACCCTTGTTACACCATTCCTGTGAAAGACGACGGAAGAACTCAAGAAGGGGTATTATAGGCATCTTCCTTGCATCTATAGATAAAGCATTCATGAACTCTACATTGTTCGAGGTCATGTAATCGTACCGTTTCGACAGCGAATATGCTCTAGTCCATTTAGCATGGGGAATTTCACTTAGATACAATTCTACTTGCGGCCTAGTAGAACTAAATCTATACCACAATTCTTCAAAAACAATTCTTTTGTAAGCTTTCACAAGCCTCCAAAACAACACTTTTGTTTTATCATTTTTCCCAAACCTGTGTACTATGTTTCCTAGTAGATGAAAAGCACACAAGCCATGATGAGCATGTGGGAAAACATTTTCAATACTAACCCGAATTGCATCGACCCTATCAGTTACAAAGTCAATTCTTGACAACCACCAACACATTCATACAACTTTTCAAGAAACCATGTCCAAGTAAGACCACTCTTTTTTTTGCATATTCTGTGCGCAAGGGGCAGTATCTGGTTGTTCCGATCCACAGCTACTACATGCAATATGGTTCCCTTAAAATCACCCTTCAAATGGGCACCATCCATAATTATAACTTTACGACAAAAACGTTTGAACGCTCGTATCTGCAATATATTAAAATGGAACACATAAACACTCTATAATTTGTTTAAAAAAACTATATATTAAATAACAATAAGTTTTTTGTATTTACCGTGCTCCCAATGGCATAACAACAACACTCGAAACAATCTCCAGAATTTGTTTGAATATAGGCTACTGTACCGGGACTATGCCTCTTCAAATTGTGAAAATAAATAGGAAGTTTGGAAAAACATTCTTCAGAGGATCCCAACAACAGTTCCATAGCATATTGTTTTGCACGCCAAGCTTGTTTGTAATCTACATTGATTTCCAGCAAAGCATTCAAATCCCTTGATATTTCATTAGGCCTCCAAACCTTGGAACAAGTTTTTCTCATAATCTCATGCAATATAGTACCCATCACTTTTTTTATTAGCATGCTTATGATTAGGGTGTATCTGTAATGACGAACATGTGTCCACGTTGTTGAAAGTCCTGATTTCAAATTCATCAGTGGGATCAAGGCGTTTTGCATATAAATGCCAACTACAGTTCTCAATTTCACAATATACCTCGTAACGATTTTTGTTAGAATGTTTTGTCTTAAAATGAAACTTTTCTCTGGTTGCTTTAAGACTCAAAGCAAATATTAGTTGTTGTTTGTTATCATATATTTGACAAACAAAATATCATCATTTGGACCTAAACTGTGAAATGGTCCGGGTTCAACAATTGGATCAGGATAATTAGGTATGGGAGGCATACCATAAAATATGTCTGAAGCTTTTTTCCTGTGTGTGAACTCATCTTCTAACCATCCTTCATTTGACTCTTCACCGTCTGAGAAAGTTTTGTCAGTCAATCTTCCAAACTCATATAAAATTTTTTCTTCAACCGTATTCACTTCCACAGTTTCTTCTTCTGGACACTCCTCAACATTATCAGATACAACGTTTTCAACATTGTATGGTACAACTTTCTCAACCGCTTCTGTCTGTTTGACCAATCCCTGAAACACCTCTAAATACAAATGCACAATCTCCTTCGTTTCAGAAATTACATTTCTGAGTTGATGAACATCTGCTTCGTCTAAAATATTCATAACATACCCATGAACCGGGTGTTGAAATGACAATGATATATTACTATTGAACACACAAACCTTACTTTTGACCGAATCAAACAATATTCGACAATCAAAATTTGGCGGAAACAGTAAACCTAACTTGTTAAATTTTGGTCTAACGTAGGTGTTAATCCCATTACTTATCTACCAAAAAACCCCAGTACATAAAATAACAAAACTCATATTTGTTTTTGAAAATCAAATGAAAAGCAATTGGTCTATCGACCAAATGGAGCTAAAAAAATGAAAAAGAACACTTTGTATCAAAAAAACCATTTAAAAACCGTTCCAACCACCCATTCCGCGGAGACATTACTCTCTCCACAGAGCTTCTTGTCATCATCTCCGCGGAGGAATTTATGACCTCCAAACAACTCACTCCGCGGAGGTGTTACTGTATCTGCAGAGGGCTTATGCGGAACAATCTTTTAAACGTTAGAAAATCAGACTTTCGGGTGGTCCACGGAGATGACATCATTCCGTAGAGGTCCGCGGAGGGTCCTCCACGGAATGTATGTCTATAGCTGGAAAATTCTAGTTTTATGACTAAATTTAGAAATTGACACCAATTTTTTGTCTATTAGCGGTATTTTCCATATTTACAATGATTTATTATTTTATATTTAACAATTATTTTTTAAACACATTTTGTAAACAATTTATTAGAAAATATAAAATATAATTTTCTATTAAAATATTTCTATTTTTTTATTAGACCATGATAATATTAAAATTACGTTCATACAAATTATAAATAATTTATAAAAAAATATCATAGATAATATTATATTTATTTTTGCAACATGATTATATCTTGTGCAATAATATCTCGTGTCGTTGCCATATACGAATCATCATCACTCGTGTGATGTGTACTTGGACCTTCTTCGTAAATTTGACTAACAGTACCACATCGTACAGGATTGTAGGATTCTTGTTGTGCCCTATTAAACGCTTCATCAAACCTACTGACATTTCTAATGTAGTTATGGATCGTCATCAATGCTATCACAATTCTCACTTAGTTCTTGTACTTGTAATTAACATGCATGTCTCTTAATAATGCTCGCCTAGCTTTCCACACTCCAAAAGTTCGTTCAATGATATTTCACAATGATGAGTGGAGATAGTTAAATTTCTCTTTCAGTCCACGAGGTTCACGAATAGCAGTTGTGTGTCCACGTCGAAAATCTGGTAAATGATAATGAATATTTGTGCCTTTGTATGCAGCAAAATACCCTCTGGTATTTGGATATCTGACATCAACAACGTAATATTTATCTGTAAATAAAACAAACATTTATTATTCGTTTCAGACAAGTAGTAAAAACATAAAACTTGTGTTCCAAAAAAATATACTAACCACCCGTTGGATATGGAAAATTAAGATCCGGTCTCTGTAAGTCTTCATTGAAAATTCTTGTGTAAGTGCAATCCCCTCCCAACCGGCCGATACAAATGTAAAACACATGTTAAAATCACAAACAACCATTACATTTTGTGTTGCATATCCTTTTCGACCAAAGTACTTCGCCTCCTCTTTTTGTGGAACTGATGCCCTAACGTGGGTCCCATCTATAACACCAATGTAATCATTCAAAAACAAAAATATATCATAAATAAATCATTTGTTAAAATTTGACTACCAAGAAAATGAACCTTGAATAATACATTGAACATTCGATGATACCGAGGGTTATTTAATATATATTCGGGGACATCATCATCATAGTTTGCATCTGACTTGATGATATCGACACTTAGTTTTAGCACGGCTTCCAAAACTATATGGAAATGTCTGTGAGTTGTTTCCTCCAAATGATTAAAAAATTCTTGCATAAATCTATTGCTACACCCATGAGCCAAAGTCATCAGGAATATTTCTACAAACTCCTCAATAGATATATTTCGTGTTTTGTTTTAGTCCGTAACTTGTAGCAAGATCAACGCAAAACTGTCTAAAAACCGGTATGTGCAATCTAAACATGTCATAACACCATCTAGAATGACAATTTAATACTTCACTAATAAACATATGCCTTGTGCGGTCGGAAGTGTGACATGGCATACATACGTTTACGAGCTAGTATTATCCTTTTCAAAGCTAATCCACATAACATTTCAAAATTTCTATCCTCTTCCACCTAACATCCTTCATTATCATTGGATGAATTAGAGTCATCACTATCCATCTTACATAATACAAATAAAAAGATGTCAAACAATAAAACATAATATAAAATATCGATTACATAAAGACAAACAATAACACATAATATAAAATGTCAAATACATAATGTCAAAAGGACAACACATAATGTCAAAACATAAAACATAATGTCAAAGCATAACACATATTATTAAAGGATAAAGCATAATGTCAAAGCATAACACATATTGCTAAATCATTATTTCTTAAGTAACTTAAGGAACTCAATCTTGGCTTTGTCAATCGTTGGAAACATAAAAGTTTCACAATTTTGCTTTTTGGTGAAGACAAACAATGCTTGTGAAAATTCGTTGGATCTTTCACGAAAATCGGGAAACTTGATGACAATGACCATGCAATCTGCTATTGTTGGGGAAAGATTATTTTGTGGATAAGTTTTTGTGTTTTTTGTTGATATGACATCCAATAAAGCATCTACTTTTTCTTCATAAATTGAACATTTACTCTTGGTTGAATGGTTATTAGAAAGAAGCTTAGATCTCTTCCTTTCACTTGAACTACTTTCATGGAAACTAGGAAAAAGAAGCTCATCATCATCATCTAAATTGATTTTATCAATCATCTCATTTGCCCTCCATATTATTCGTTTGGATTGCTTTTGTTTTGAAATTGTGATGGAATCATAGTCTAATCTCCAATGTCAACGGAATCTCGAAGCAAAAGAGCATATTTCTCATCAAATATGCTCAAATTTGTGTTTCTAAATTTGACATGATCTTTATTCTCCTGCAAGACAAAAAGATAATGTAATTCAAATATGCTCATTCTATATGCAATAATAACTTAAAATAATTAAAAAGAATAATAAATCATACCTTTATTTTCTCCTCCTCCACTCAGGCGATGCATCTATTAGGCTTCCTGTCCCACCGAGTCCAGTTTCAAACCTCATTAAGCGGTCATAAAGCTTCAATTCTTTTTTCATGTTCTCTCATTTGTTTGTTAGTTGTTTTTTTCAAGGTTGTAACCTATTTTGTCCTTCATGTGTTTTTGTATATTCTCCCACCCAACTTTATCAAAGTGAGTACCGAGTTTATGGCCTTTTCTTAGTTTAATCAAGCACGAATCAACAAACATCATGAAGCTACGATTATACGAATTTTGTCTTTTTCACTTCTAAAAATGTTTCACAATCAACAACAGTAGTGTGATTTTCATCCGTTATCTGTGAACTACATAATATCAACATTTAAACAACAAACCAAATTTATTAACCTTCCTAAATTATTTCATCAATTTAACAAATTTCTAATTAATCTTTCATAAAATTCATGAACTATAATTAATCAAAACAGAAAAAAGAGAACAACAATGGAAGAAAACAACACAAATTAGAAGAAACAAATTGGAATAATCTCACAGTTTAATTATTTCATCAATTTCACTAATTTTTAATCAATAATTCATCAATTTCACAAATTGATACATGTTAACACAATATCTCATCAATTTTCATCAACATAGTACAATCCATACACTCTCAAAGGTATGACAATCAATATTTCAGAACATCACAAATATGATAATCGAAGGAACAAATCACATACAGTGCAAGGAAAATCGAAAATCGACATTTTCTTTTCCAATGAAAATCGAAAATCAACACAAACGAAAACCAAATCGGAGGTTAAACTTACCTCATCGGAGATGGAGGAAGGAGACGCCGACAACGGTGTTGATCGGAGGAAGATCGTCGATTGCCTTGGGATCGATACACAGAGAACTTGAGCGGAGAGAAAGTGAGTGGAGAGAACGAGAACGAGAGTAATGAACGTAAATGTGTGTGAATTGATTATGGTAGTTGAGGGTATAAAAGTAATTTAGGTTTTTAGTGGTTCAAAAGTTTCAAAAAGTTACATTTTCGTGACTTTTTAAAACACCCATTTTCTTTTTATCTAAAAAGTAGCTTTTAATTTTTTTTTTTCCTTCTACCAAACATCTTTTAGTTTTTTTTTTTTTAATTTTTAGGAAAAGATAGAAGTTAAAAATCTTTTTAAAAGATACCAAACACCCTCTGTGTGTTTGCGTTTTTTTTTGTAAGAATGAATTTCATAGATTCACGAACCCTAAAAACGATAAGGCCACTTTCTTTTTCCAATTTTTTTTATAAACAAAATCACCAAAATATAAATATTAAATTTTTTTAAACGAGGCGGGCATCGGTTTTTTAAAAATGAAAATTGGAACTGGAATCGCTTAAAGCATTTCCTAAAAGGAATTGGAACTAGAACCACATAGACCAGTTCTAGTTCTAGAACCGGCAGTTCCGAGGCGGTTCTGGTTCCGAAAACATTGTTGAAAAATGTTTTTGTATGTGACCATCATTGAAATAAGCCGAACTATTCTTATTTTATTTGACAAATATTATCAGTTATTTCAAGTTGCGTAGATTCGTGATCGAATGGAAAATAAAAAAAATACATGAAAGACGGAATACGCAAAGACGGAAAAATAGCTGCTTATTTGGTTGTTTGAAGACAAAAGAAAACAAGGGATAAAAAAAAGTGTCAAGACTTCAAAAACTCAAGGGTCAAATATGAAAATTCAATTCATTGAATTTAATACACATATTTGATTTCTCGGTGAAGTGGAGAATTAAAAGCCAAACCCAAAAAATTGTCAAGACATAAAAACCTCAAGGGTGAAAAATGGAAATTCAATTCACTAATAGAATTTAATAGATATATTTCATTTCTCAGTGAAGTGGAAATGGGAATTAATGCCAAAGCCACGTTACCTCATGCAAAACAAAGAAGAAGCTAGTCAAACATCCAACATTTTCCTCCTCCTCCTACTACCGCTTGACAAACTTGAGAGCTATATACACCCATACATACTCAAGTAAGCTTAAGATATTTTTTCATTCACAACTATGTATGTGTACGTGTGTATTTAAAGAGTGTGTTCATTTTTCTTTGTAATTCCCTAGAACATAAAACTCTCTCAATCACCAAACAACAAACATCAAGAACATCAAGATCAATGACGAACACTATCAACCATCTTCATCAAATGTTCTTCATCAAACTTTAAGATCATCATCTTCACCACCTTATATCAACCTCCTTCCAACCTCAAAATAATCTCCAAACACCCTCCAAATACCCTCCTTAAACCTCCTCCAAAAACCAAATCAAATCACCACAACCATCACCACTTTGCTGTATTTCGACATCAGAATTTTCATGTTAGAAAACAAAACAACCGAGCACAACAAATCCAAAATTCTACTAGGGAGATTTTCACCATCAATTCTTCAGAACCTTAGCTACATATATAAATTTTCCTGGACAATTTTGACCACTAGAAACCCCAGAGAGACACCAGAGAGAATTGGCTATCCAGAGAGATTTCTGTTTTCGAGTATAGAATCTTCATGTCAGAAAATAAAAAACTGGGCACAACACATCCAAAATACTACTAGAGAGATTTTCACCATCAATTCTTCAGAACCTTACCTACATCTAGAAATTTTTGTGGACGATTTTGACCATGGGAAACCCCAAAGAGACGCGAGAGAGAATTGGCTATCCAGAGAGATTTACTCCAAAAATCTACATTCATCACCACCCAAAGCTCTTTCAACATCACCATCTTTGCTACCTTACACCACCAAAACTACAAAATTATTACACTTCCTACCACCCTCCAAATACCCACTCCAACCTCATCAAATCTCCTCAAAACATCCAATACCCGTATATAAATACATGACCCGTGTACTTTGCACTGTTTTGTAAACAACCCGTTTTACATAAAAATGAACTCTG